AGCTGGTTTGCGCACTTCATACTAATGAATTTCCTCTGCGTCATCTGATGACAACTCTTGATGCAGAAACTCTGAGCAGCAACAAATGGAGAGACAGTATTGGAATATTATTAAATGGTGTAACTGCTCTGGAAATTAATCGATCCTTTCAAAAAATTGATCTTGGAAATCCTCTTATTACTTTAAAGGATGAAGTAATTAAAAATTTATCCTCGATCAGATGGATATAAAATAGTCTCTGTCATTAGAAGTAGAAATATACCCTTAGACTTGACTTTACTTGAAACTGGACCAGTTAATTCTAGATGGTTGTCAAGAGACTTTGCAGAGTTTGGGTCTCACAACATGACTTGGATGGCAAGAATTTAAAAAATCTTGAATTATTAATTGAGTTCGTTGTGGAATATCTTCTATGAGCCTATTCTTAATTGTGATCAGACAACAAAAGGGATAAAACTGATTATATTTCAGCCTATGGATGTTCCAGATTGGCCTTGTAATTGGCAGTTAGTTTTCTGTGAATTTGAATTCTAAATCACAATTCCCGGTAAAATCATTTCGGATTTTTTAATCTAAGCTTTTTTTAGTAATTATATATTCACATAACAATATTATACACTTTGACAAAAGAAAAGATTTTAAGAAAGTTAAATTTTCATCAAAACATCAACAACAACAAAAAAAACATCACCGGCAGAAAAAATTTGTTGAGTATATATGATGATTGAGACACTTATGTTACTAATGTACTCAGGTAATTAGTCCTAATAAGCTGCGGATGGTCTGAAAAAAAAGTTGTCTGAAACTTAATAAAGAAAAAACTATATTAAATAAATAAGAAGTCCTGCTACTCAAGAAGGTGCTGCTGTGGAAGCAAAAAAAAAAAAAAAAAAAGCCCGTAGCTAGAAAAAAATTTAAAACTTTCTTTTGACAATGAAAATTTATTTTGGCTACATTTATTTTTTTACTATAAATGTATGCTGCAGCTGTTTTACAAAACGCCTTAATATGCTTATTACGTATTTTGAGAAAAGCGCAATTAAAAAAAAGTTATTAAAAAATTAACTCTTTGTAAAACGTTTTTTGAAACGAATAATTTTTATGAATTTTTTCAGTACTCATTGAAAAAATGTATTCAATAATGTTTGTAGACATACAAACTAGCTTATTTTGTAAAAAAGTCAAAAATGATATTTTTTAACCTTAAGGTGTTTTGAAAAATAGCTGCAGTATGGATGGTACAACGAATATGTTAAAATGAGATAATTTGACGCAAAGTTTAAAAGCTCTTAACAAAAGCCACTAAACCAAAAAAATTTAAAATAATTGCTTAAAAATTTTATTATAGTGAAAATTTTGATTTTAGTGAATATAGTAATTGTAGTTCAAAATTTTATTATAGTACATAAAAACTTTATTATTGTGGCAAAGAAATGCTATATAAATCATTTTTTAATTTTAATATAAACTAACTTTGTTGCGCTTAACCATCTCTATATAAACAATGTATATATAAAACAAATGTATTTATAAAATGTAAAAAATCCCTTACATAATGTTTTATTCAGGATTGTATGTAATATAAGTAAATTTTCTAATAATTCTTTTTTGCTCAAGCTGTTTTGTTTTGATTTTTTGTAGTTATGTTATTATATTTAAAAAAATTGACAAGATTAAAAAAACACGAAACAAATTGTCACTTCCGAGTGGAAAATTTGAAACTTCAACTTTAGATTTGCTTCTCTTTCGAATTTCTGATTTCTAAAGTTATGTCATCTGCTTTTTAGACCTTTAAAAATGATAGTCACAAAAATAAGATTTTATTTTAAAATTTTTATAAAAACTCTATCTATTAAAGATATATGGAATACATTTTTATGGATATATTTTAATAGACAAAAAGGGCCATCCATAAAGGACGTCATCCAAATAGTGAGGGGGAGGGTTCGAGATAAAAAGGACAAAAAAGAACAAGGGGAGGGGGGAGCTAGTCAGAAAAGGACGTCACTTTATAGATTTTTTATTTTAGTTTAATTAACATGAAAAACTATGTAAATATGTGTTTTTAAGAAGATAATGTATGAGAATATTCTTAATTTTATTTTTCAAAGGTGTAGCAGCAGATTCAAACATCATTGCAAAATAAAATAATTTTTTTGGGGGTTTAAATATCTATATTTCTATAAAATGAGAAAACTTGAAAATTTCATTTTAAATTTTAGAAATCTGTTTTTCTATAGTCTTATTTTTTTGCTATGAATATATAAGCAAGATTGAAAAAATTTCAAAATTTATTACGATGATAGCGCATTTAACTACTGCGCTATTAATAAAATGCATTTAGCAGAAAAAAAAACCTAATTATAAGCCTCTTATAAGTTCTGCGTATGTAGAAAAGTTGCGCATGTTAAGTTTTTTTCTCTTAAATTTTTTTTAAGTAAATAAGGAATAGGTATAGAAAATTTGGCTAGAATTAGATATGTAAATTTGTAAAGACCTGTAATTTACAGATCAGGAAAGCTAGGATATATAAGGAAAAAGTATAGAAAAGTTCGGTTTGCAATAGATATACAGACCTGTATTTTTACAGGGCCGATCTCAGCTAGTATTAAATAAAAAAACAAGAACCATTAAACTGAGTTTTATATATATATATATACATATATATATATATATATATATATATATATATATATATATATATATATATATATATATATATATATATATATATATATATATATATATATATATATATATATATATATATATATATATATATATATATATATATATATATATATATATATATGTATATTCAGAGGCTATTCTAGGAAAAAAATATGGGCGATGGTACTCTCTGTCCTGGAAAAATTTAGCCAAAATATTGTCGAATGTATGCAGAAAATACAATACTTGCCATAAAAAAACGATTTTTTATTCTCAATAGTCCTCAATTTTTAATTTTGGCGGCGCCCATATACAGTTGACGCTGTCAAAAATGGTCTAGAATAGCCCCTGATATACTCACACTCATGCACATATACATATATGTAATACATACAATACATATATATTATATATATATTATATTATATATATATATTATGTAAATATATATAATATGAATATATATATATATATATATATATATATATATATATATATATATATATATATATATATATATATATATATATATATATAATTTATATTTATAAGAATATAAAAAGCAATTTGTTAGTAACATTTTTTTTGGATATTAGTACTAGTTTGATATTGGGATATATCAAAGCAAAGAAAATGTTTAGGCAGTGTATTTGTTGATTTAATGAAGGCATTTTGCACAGTTTGCAACACAATAATTCAATTTTGGTTTATTTTATCATATTTTTTTAGTTGCTTTTCAAAGATATAGGATACAAGTTGCTGATCAGTAATTAAACTAAAATGACATCCAGTTAAGTAATACCTCCAATGTCTGACTGCTTTTACTATTGTGCATGTTTTTTTCTCAATTAAAGAATATTTAAGCTCAGATTTTAAGAGAGTTTTTGTAAAAGAACGCAACAGGTTGATGTTGAGGTTAAAAGCTGCATATATACTAAATTCATTATTTTCTACTTCTATGTTCAGAGTTGTTAAATTATGTAAGCAAGGAATTTCGAGAATGAATGGTTTCAACAGTTGATCAAAGAGAGTCATCTTTGCTGTCATTACTTTGAAGGACTTATATAAAACTTAGTTTTATATAAGTCCTAATGCGGTAGTGGTGTAGTGGTAGAGCGCTCGCTTCATAAACGAGTGGTTCCAAGTTCGATCCCCACCACGTCCCTGGTAGTACCGCGCTCAACTTGCTTCTCCGCACAGCGGCCTTGTTCGTCAAGGTTCGTGTTTCGGAGTTATAGAGTTGAGAGAGGGTTATAGCCACAAAATAAGTAGCCTCCTCGTCTGTAGTGGCCTTCTCGGCCTTGAGGAGGTGAAGTAAAATAAAAATAAAAAAAAAAAAAAAAAATATGTAAAAACTAGATTAAAATATTATTGCTTTATCACAATTAAAAAAGGTGATTATAATAATATTTTGGCTAAGCCAAACTTTAAATTTGACTTTAAGCTAGCATAATTTTAACTTTAAGCTGTAATGACTCATCAGAAAATGAAAAAAAAAAAAAAAGCTATGAAAGTAAGCTGCTTACTTTCAAAGCTTTTTAATTTTATTTCGTAATGAGTCATTCTACAATTTAATATTAAGTCATTAGACTTGAGAGAAGATTAATTGTCATTTTTTAAAATGTTATTCTTACTTTTGGCTAACTAAGTAGCAGCATTGACTTTTTAAATTTAATAATAAGACAATACTTGACATATCTCCTCAAACTGCAACAAGTATCCTTATATATATATATACATATATATATATATATATATATATATATATAAGGATACTTGTTGCAGTTTGAGGAGAAATCTAAGTTCCTGAAATCTCTACACACAATCTACTTGTAGCAATTGTAGTAAATCTTTGCAACCATGTCTTCACATTGCTGTAATTTTTTTAAAGTGTACTCTGTGTTCAACTAGTAGAGATTAATTTCTGTTGGCAATTATAGTTATCTCCTCAAATTTGAATTCCCATTTAGACATTTTAAATTAACTGTTTTTTTTCTGGTAATTTGTGTCTAGAAACCATTTTAATTAGTAATCTGAAAAAATTAAGTTTCCCAAAATTGTGAGAAAAAAAAAGAAAACATTACTATATTTATAAATAAAAAAAACATTCACTTAAACTAAACTAAACGTTCACTTATTTAAACTAAACATTTACTTAAATAAACTAAATGTTTAAAGCACCATTAAATTTGCTATGGTTGAATTATGTACTAAATTTTATTATTATAATACAAAATATTAATATAATAAAATGAAATGTATTTGTTGTCTTATGTTATATATATATATTGAAAACAAAATAAAAAATTAACTTTTCTCTTTAATTATAGAGGAGGAAGAAAAAAGAATCAACAATTTATATAATCCTCACACAGCATATCAAACTATTGATTACTCTTACAGCGATGATCCTAGTAAGAACAAACTACTTCCAATTGAAAATGCTTTTTATCAATATTGTCAATACTATGGATATGACAAAGAAAATCCTAATGTGAAAGCTTATTTTCTTAGTAAGTTTTCTTTTGTTTCTTTTTTTGTAAAGCAGTTTGTAAATTTTATTAATTGCATTATTGGGCATTAGGCATCCCTTTGTGCATTAATAATACCACACTAGCTGGTATGACCCGTATGATACGGGTCGTGCCAAGTCTAATCCACACCCAACAATTTCTAAACTTGTTCCTTAGTCTTTATACTTTAATTTATTTTAGTAAACGGCAAAAAATAAATCAATTTTTATTCAGTTACAATTAAAGTTTGCATTTTACTATCTACCAGATAGTAAAATGCAAACTCTTGAGAAATTTAAATCAAACTTTAATTGCTCATTAAATTATAATTAATTTAAAAGAAAAGTCTTATTTAAATAAAATATATCGAATACCAATATATTTAATTTAAAAAATCGATGAGCATGTTTTTAATATCATGATTGTTGTGGTCATTAAAATGTTTTGGTTCGCTAAAAAGTACACAGGTTGGATTTTACTGAATACTTAAAGTTCTTGATTTCTAATTTACTGTTCTTTAGAACTAATTAGTATTTTTACTTATTACATTATTACTTTAATATTTTCTACATAAAAAAAATCTTTAGCATATAAGACAGTTGCGTGAAACTGAGGCTATGATAATATTTTAACTCTCTCATAAGGATTTATTTAAAAAGCAAATTTGGATATTGAAAAATGGACCCAAGAGACCTAGTTATTTCAAATAAGTTACCTTTATCTGTTTGATATATTTTATAAAAGCCTTTCCTTAAAAAAAACTTAAAATTATATAAAAAATTTATATAATTGTTAAAATATATTAACAATTATACTGTTTTAACTGCGGAATTAGCAGTGGTGACCCATTATTAGTTGATTTAAAGTTTTTGGTTAACAATTGACTTTAGAAACTGTACTTATTTACTTAATGTACTCCAATATTTTATACATAAAAGAATCTTTAACATAATAGACAGTTGCGTAACAATTCTTCAGGTGTTTTTGAAAACTTAGGCTATAATCAAGATTTTACCCTCTCATCAAGGTTTATTTAAAAAACAAATTTGGACATTAGAAAACGGGCCTAAGAGGCTTGTTATTTTAAATAAGTTAGCTTTATCTGTTTGATACTTTTTATAAAAACATTGCTGTAAAAAATAAATTTGTTAATAAATTCATTCAATTAAGCTGTTTTTACATCCGAAGTTATTAAACATGTTGTTTGTGCTAATCGATACTTAATGCAAATGGAAACTTTGAGTACAAAATGTGATTTAAGTATAAATGGTTTCTATTCATATATATAAAAAGCAACGAAAATATAAAAAACAAAGCAAAAATCAATATATCCATTTGAAACAATAAATCCAAAAATAAAAAAAATATAGATATTTACTTAAGAAACATTTTATTTTTTATTTTATCTCAAGAAAACATTTTTCTTGAGATAAAATAAAAATATAAACTTTAAAAAAAATTACAAAAAAATATTATATTTAACAAAAAGTAACAAAAATACTTAAAAAAAAGTTTAAATTGAAACATTGTTTCATTATTATTAGGCTTTAGGTAAGCCATAATCAAGTCAGCCATAAGAAAAGGAATTTTACCTAAAAATGGAACAAAATTATTTTAAACATAATACACATTAATTATAAATTAACGTCATGCAATCAATTAATTTTTTTAAAAACTCAAATGCAAATAAGTGGATAAGAAACTTACTTTTTATTTTTCCATAACCCTGACAGATCAATATGAATGTGAGCTAAGCCTATTAGCATAAAACATTACGACAATTAATTAAATAGCAGAACATGTTAAAGTAAACTCTAGATAACCCACACCTTTAAAGGACAAAGAAATTAGTTTAGTTTAAAGAAAATTAGAGTTATTGGGAGTATAATATATATAAAAAAAACTTAAGTGGAATTTCAAAATTAGTTTATATTGTTGAGGGTTGAGTTATCCTGAGTTTATTGAACATATTTAAACTACTAACTGCACACATTTATAAAAACATACATAAACATTTAAAAAACATAAATCTTTTACTTTATATAACACATATATATTAACATTAACATATAGGAAATAACACATTATAAGCAATTACCACATCATGAGACATATTAATACTTATAAAAAACCATCACAAACATCACATTTTAAAAATGAAGTATTATTTGTGTAATACACATTCAATGACATACCTTGTAGTACATGTTAATCAAAGTTATATAATAATTTTCTACTATTTCTCTCCATTTTAAATTCCAGGTAAAAGTAATGAATAGATCTGGTTTACCATATTTCTTTATGACTGCCATTGCATCTTTAAAGTTTTCTTTTAGTGCTCTTGGACTACCAACATATGAAGAAGACAATATAACAACGCGGCCTGGTCTTACATTAAGATCATTAGCACAATTAATTACATGTTCATGCAATGCATCATATTGTTCACTTCTAAGTTTGTTTTGGTTATTTCTAATAAAAGCAAGGCAGTGTCACTCAACTTTGACATACACATCAACAACGTATTGCTGAAAAAGTTTCTTACCGTAAAATTTAGGACTAAAAGTTTGTCTAACATCAAGCCTATAATTATAATACTGAGACAAAGTAACATGGTTTCTAACACAGGTTGTGCGGTCAGGGATGTGCTCTAGTTGATTGTGCCATCCAGCATCACCTCTCGGGAAAAATATTGGATGCCATAGGATCTAAATTTGCAGACAGATGAAATTTTTTTTTAAAGGCTGACCTCGAGGGTATATAACAACTTTCCTGGATGCAGGTGGAGCACCATCATCTTCCACAAACACAATAGCGACCTCCTCATGGGAAGGAAGATTGTATCGACGTCTTCATGACTTTCAAGCAAAGACATTCTTACAACAGAAGTTGGTCTACCTTCTAAAGCTGCTCAGCGGATTTCTTCATCCTCTACTTCTGCCATGTTTTTAAATGCAAGAGCAAATGGGTTTTCTTGATTAATGTTTTCAAAAGTTGCATTAACTCACATATACAACCATCATTACCAGGTTGCTCCATTCTGAATGACACTGCTGCTTTAGGATCAAAGATATTTAGCAGACAATATTTGGGCAAATTGTCTTCTGCAGGCCTGATATTTCCAACACGATGCAAAATTTACCCACAGACACTTAAACAGAAAAGGCCATTATTTGAGGGAGGAGCTAATTCGGCAGTGAAGGAAGCAAAAGATAAAGAGGAATTATAACTCCTTATGTGTTTAAAAAAATTTTGATTTACAGCATTATCAACATGGTTTCCTGTCATTAAATCAGTCAACAATGTTGGATATAGAGAAAGAGGAGCTAATACAACTTTTCCTGAATGACAGCTCAAAAAATAAGTTTCATTTAAAAATTTCTTCACACTACAATACTGACATTTATGGTTGAATTCTCCAAGGTAATTACTCTCTGTAGCAATATTATTTCTTGCTATGCGATGTATATTATAATTATTGAGTTCTCGCCTAGCCTGATTTGTTTCATTCTGATTACAATTTATTGCAGCTCGTCTAGACTCATCTCTTTCATCCGATGGCAGTTTATCTCAGCTTGCCTGGGCTTATCTCTTTCATTCCGACGGTGGTTTATCTCAGCTCGTTTAGCCTGTCTTCTTTCATTTTGTTGAAGTCTAATAATTTCATTTCTTAAATTATCAGACATAATCATGCATCAAAGGTGTGTAAAAATGATACTTAATTTAATAAAAAGTTTAAGTTTGAGTTTTCTTTTTTAAACTAATCTAAAATAAAGTGTAAGCAAATAATATAGAGCATAATATAATAATCTTTTATATTCTATAGCAATGTGTTATGATAACATTTATTAAAAGGTTAGACTAAAGTTATAAATAAATTGATATAATCTTTTAAACTGAGTATTGTTACATATTTAAGGTAGTTGTTATTAATTATTGACAAAATATTATAATAATTAATCAAAAAAATAAAAGTAAAGTAATTTACAAAATAAATTTTTTACATTTAAGAACTTTTAAATAAAGCAAATTAAAAATAATAAGGCCTGTCTGCTCAGCAAGTACTGCTAAACTACAAGGATAAAATGTAATCATTCGTCATAAAAACCCTTTCATTACTTTGAAACGCATTTAATGCAAGATTTTCAATAAATAAGTAAATACAAAACTAATAAAAGGAAACCTCTATAAACAATCATATATTTGCTTTAAGTGAAGAAACTAGGAAATATTGAAACTTGTATAACTATTTTAATTTTTTTTTAGATATCTAATATACTAAAGTAAAAAAGTCAATAATATATATTCTATACATATAATATATATGTATAGACACTTTAATTTTATATATTTTATTGTATAGATGTCATATATATATATATATATATATATATATATATATATATATATATATATATATATATATATATATATATATATATATATATATATATATATATATATATATATATATATATATTATTAGGGTGGGTCATGAAATTTTTTTTTAGAGTTGCTAACCTGGCTATGGTTGTTTTTTTATGTACTTATTTAGGAAAGTATTTACTTTTATGGATTGAACAATGTCTTCCACCGTCTCCTATAATTACAAAAATTAGCAGGCCCTATTATTATTCAAAAAAAAAAGTTTTTCAAAATTATGTGATGTAGGTACTCAAATAAAGTGAAATTTTATAAAAATTTCAAAAATAATAATTTTTTCATATAAAAATTATTATTTTAGATTTTATTGCCTAATAAAATCTAAAATAATAATTTTTACATGTTTTTTAATAACAATTTTTTTCGGCAATATGATTTTTATAAAATTATTATTTTCGAATTTTTTATAAAATTTCGCTTCTTTTGAATACCAGGTTGACCTACTTTTGAAAAACTTTTTTTCTCCAAAATATTAGGGTACCGGTAATTTTCCCAATAAAGTTGCGCCCTTTAAATCTATCGCAATCATTCTCATATTTGATAGTATCAATATTAATAACTATTAGCAATGTTTAGAGCCTGTAACAAGAAAAAAAATTTTATGACCCACCCTAATATATATAATTTGTTTATTTGAATTTATTATTGCTCTGTTCTTTAAGAACATTGAGCAGTCTTTTTGTAGAATATATATATATATATATATATATATATATATATATATATATATATATATATATATATATATATATATATATATATATATATATATATATATAAATATATATATATATATATATATATATATATATATATATATATATATATATATATATATATATATATATATATATATATATATATATATATATAATATGTATCTTTCAAACAAATTTACTCAAAAAGTAACAATAAACAAATACTGTAAATGATAAATAAGAGCAAATATAAAACTTATTTTTGTAATATTTGTTTAATGACATACCTCGTATAAATGTTTAACAACTTGGAAAAACAAACGATCTGGTTTTTTATATAAAAGCAAACAGATTTTTTTTTTTAACTTTTTTTAAAGGTAAGGTATTTATCGTTGTTCTTTCTTGTTCTTTAACATGTAAATGTGTGAGATGCAAGAGTTTAGGAGATATATATATATAACACTAACTTTATCAAGAGTTTGACCTCTTGAAAAGAGCATCGTCTTTTAGAGTCATCATCATCTTTTAATTTAAAAATTAAAATATGTCCATCTTATTACTAATTAAGTCGATGAAGCAAATTTTTTGATTTTATTACTGATTAAGCAGATATTACCAGATTATTAAGATTCAAGAGTACCTCATCACGTGTTCAAATTTAGAAATAAACAAAAAGAGAAATATCTAAAATGCCAAGCAAGCTCATAAACTCTGTGTAAAAACGCGCACGAATGGTGAGCAGCAGCAGCAGCGTTTAGTTAAGTATTAATTATAAGCGGTACTTCGATATTAAATAGTATAGATTGCCAATAAAATTTTTGTTAGGCGTTAATAAAACTTTTGTTAGTTAAAAATAGAAATTAAATTTTTAATATAAAAAGCATTTTAATATGAAATTGTTAATATATTTTTATAATTTGCAAGGTTTACAGAGTTATGATTATGAAAGGCCTCCACCTCCGCCTGAACCTTCATCAGCTGAAAATACTAACAGTTCTTCAACTGTTTTAACTATACAAAAATCTGATAAGTTTGTACCACCAGAAGGACTTATTATTCCTGCTGGAATGGAAGTGGTATGTATATTGTTTTATTTCTTAGTAAATAGCTATTTGATGTTAATTATTTTGTATATAACAAATACCAAAAACAGATGTGTAATGGCTAATTACTACATAGTCACTGCACAAACATATAAAGTTTTAAAGTTAAAATCTTTTCATGAGAAACAAGCTTCTAAATAAAAATCATTTATGGTTGAAAACAATTCGAAATTTGGCTGGAGATGACATTAGTTTATTTAAAACTAAAAAATCAAGATTGTGAAAGGTTTACACAAGGTTAGTCAATTTTTTTTATATTCATGCATATCTAAAATATTTAAATTATTTGATTAGAAATTTAACTTTTTAAATTGCAGAATGGTATTTCATTAATGGCAAAATTTCAGGTATAAATTCTATTAAAGTTTTATTTAAGATATTTTTATTTGTTTTGTTTCTTTTAGATGGTTCTGGTATCAATTGCAAATGATGAACACATGAAAACTTTTGAAAAAACTATTGTCTTCCTAGCAATTTTGCATATATATATATATATATATATATATATATATATATATATATATATATATATATATATATATATATATATATATATATATATATATATATATATATATATATATACACACACACACACACATATATATATATATATATATATATATATATACATATATATATGTGTGTGTATATATATATATACATATATATATACATATATATATATATATACATATATATATATATATATATATGTATATATATATATATATATATATATATACATATATATATATATGTGTGTGTGTATATATATATATATATATATATATATATATATATATATATATATATATATATATATATATATATATATATATATATATATATATATATATGTATATATATGTATATATATATGTGTGTGTGTATATATATATATATATACATATATATATATATATATATATATATATATATATATATATATATATATATATATATATATATACACACATATAATATTTCGAACGCTGTATATATATAAATATATATATACATATATTTTGAGCGCTTTATATATATATATATATATATATATATATATATATATATATATATATATATATATATATATATATATATATATATATATATATATACACATACATACATACATATATACATTTTTTCTGAATATTTAAATGTATATATGTATATATACATTTTTTCTGAATATTCAATAAGATATTTGTTTTAAAACTCTTTTTTCCTTGGCATTGTATCCTTGTGGACAGAAGTTTTTTATTTGAAGACATTTAAAAAAAAGTTAAATTTATATTGTCTAATTTTTAATGATAGTGTAAAAATTATATTTATATTATTCTGTTGCTTTAATGAATTCTACAATGTCTTTTTGTACTATAAATCATTCCTAGAAAAAATGAAAATATTGTACATTTTTACATTGAAATATTTTTTTCTATTATTATAATTAATTAACTTTAGTAATTAACTCCTTAAAAAGTTTTTTGAAAAGTAATACCTGACAAAAGAAAAGGAAAAATCAACACACAGCTTAGTTATAAAAAAAGAAATTTAAAAAAAATGAAAGTTTAGTGCATGACCTCGATGATATTGATATTATCAGCAAATAGGTTTTGCTTGCAGTTCGTTTTCTTAGAAAACTTTTACTTTATAGTTAGGTTAGAGAAGTTTGCTTGTTTAACTATTCTTTTTTAGAGAAGATTTATCTTATAGTCAAGATATATTATTCATGCACAAAAGTTTAAAGCAAAAGTAATCTGTTTTAATCTTTTTAAACTTAATCATCAGATTTAAACCCTTAAAGTTGAGCAGAATACTTTACAACAGTAAATATTTTGAAATAGTTGTGTAATTTTATTGGCTATTATTGTTCTAGTTTTTTGTGAAACCTCTAGTATCATAATCCATAAAGTTTTTTGTGAAACCTCTAGTATCATATTCCATAAAGTTTTTTAAGTCATCTCTTTGTTTTTTTTAGTCATTGGCAGTTTTCTTGAGTAACAAGGTTTCAAAATATGTAAAAAAAAAGTTTTATTTATTTAACAATTTATAGTAAAGTGATTCAGTTCTAGAAGTAACTTTTAGTCAATGGTCATTGATTGTCTAAAATTGACTCTGTTGTCAAAAAATGATTGTTTTGTAAAAAAAAAAAAATTTTAAATTTTGATTTCATGAAAGTTTTATAAATGTTTATATTTAAATATAAACATAAATTGATAATTAAGCAACATTCTGTTTAGAGAGCTTTTTTTACTCTCTAAGAAACATGTTGTTTTATCAAAGTTTTTTTACTTTAATTAATTGAAAAAAATTTAGTATATATATATATATATATATATATATATATATATATATATATATATATATATATATATATATATATATATATATATATATATATATATATATATATATATATATATATATATATATATATATATATATATATATATATATATGATTTGTAATTTGCTTATATTTTTTACCCATACTGCATGGCAAGAAAGGAAAAAGATGGAAACAAAAAAAACTCAGTAAATAGAATATTGGGTTCAAAAGTTTTAATTTTTTTCCAACTTTTTAGTTGATACCTTGTGAACTCTAAAAGCAGTTACAAGGCCTTTCCAATCGTGATCACTTTCTTTTTGACTTCCAATAGTGATAACTTTTGTTTTAGTTTCCAATAATAATAACTTTCATTTCGATTTCCAATAGTGATAACTTTCATTTTGGTTTCCAATAGTGATAACTTTCATTTTAATTTCTGTTTTTTTACTTTGATTCGTTTTATAATCTCGAAATATTTTCTTTTGAAGAGTGAGTAATACTTTTGAATGTAGAGTAAAAAATTATATTGTCAACTGGTGGCATATCAACTGCTTGTTAGCACAATTTTCTCAAGAGCAAAAGCAACATTATTGGTATTTAATAATGGTACTTAATGGTTTGATAGAGAATTATATTTGTTATTTGGTGTTGCTATCAATTGTTTCTTATTTTTACCTCTTTAATCAAAATCTTTCTGGCTAAGTTCAAGATGTTTGATTTTAGAATATGCTACTTCTTTTCAAGATGGAACCCATTCATTTTAAATACTTATAAATGCAGGGTTTGTTTAATCATTTCTTACAGCAGTTTCATTCTAAACATTGCTGCAGCAACATGATTGCGAATAGACATGTCAGTTATTCATGTACAATGACATTTTTTTAATACCAGTATATGATATGTATCATTAATACACTGTGATTTCCAACATTCTACTTTTAGTATACAGTAATCACTTTTTATAATTATAAAAATTAACAGACATTTGCAGCTTTTTTTAGAAAAAGAAAACAAGATAAAATGTGTGTGTTTATGTGAGTGCGTATACAATCACCAAATTTTGGTGTAAATAAATAAATAAAATAGTTTGATTGGTGATTGTATGTAATGCCACCAATTACAAGTAAAAGGAATAAGAAAATTTTAATATAGATTGACAGAGAGTATGGGTTGATGAATAAAGGAAGTTTTCTTTTTATTTTTCTATATCACCTTTTTTTAATTATTATATCACGCTATCAATGTTATGTAAAACTTCAATCAAGTAGATTGAAGTTTTAATACTATTATATTTGTTTTTAGTAATTATATGTCAAAAAAAAACTTAAATTATTATTAATTATTGTTATTTGTATCTTTTTTTAAATGTTATAAAGCATTCATTTTTTTAAAAACAAACTCTGTGATCAAATCAACTTAGAAGATTATCATTAGGATAATAATCAAATAATAGCTTATATAAATTATCAAATAATAGCTTATATTAATAATTAAATAATAGCTTATATAAATAATCAAATAGTAGCTTATATATATAAATAATCAAATAATAGCTTATATGAATTATTATATAATTTATATAAGCTTATATAACTATATAAGTTATCATATAGCAATATTATTTGATTATGATTAGTTATTTCTGAAAAAATCTAATTTATTAATTATGTTTAAAAAAAAAGAAAGTTCCATTTTTATTTATTACTGTTAAGTTGCATTATATTGGAAGTATTATTATACCCTAAAATAATGTTAATTTTTTTAAAATGTCTAACTTTTTTTTGTCACAGAAAATTTTTAAATTAACACAAATAATAAATAAAATGAAAAATAAAAAATTCTACACAATAACTTGTTGTTTTTTATTATTTATTATTGCAGTTTAAAGTTTTTACTGTGTATTACTACATTAAAAAATTTTTACTGTTTATTGCTACAAATAATAGTTTTTACTGTTTATTACTTACAATTGATAGTTTTCACTGTTTATTATTTTAATAAAAAGTTTTTACTGTTTATTACTACAATAAAAAGTTTTTTATTGTTTATTACTACAATTAATAGTTTTTACTGTTTATTACAACTATTAAAAGTTTTACTGTTTATTACTACAAAAAAAAGTTTTTACTGTTTATTACTACAATTAAATGCTTTTAGATATGACGTAGTATTATGGGTTATAGTTGTTTTGTCAGTTTTAATAAATCTAAAGTTTTTATAATGAGAGAACATTTTTTAAACCTAGTGTTCTCATAAAAATGATAGCTAGGGAAGTTGGAATTTTCGGTGCAAAATTAATAGTTTTTAGAACTCCTATTTACAGAAGACCTGTCTCCATGAAGTTTAGAAATTCTAAAACAATTTTGGTGCATTAATGTTTAATATTTCATTAATGTTTCTTTTATGAACATCTTTACATTTTATTAATTTTTTTTTTTTTATCTCTATTTACACCAAATCTGTGTTTAAATTATACGCCTTTATTGTGTTTTACTAAAGAATCTTTTTTGTTTAAAAAGCAGAATAATAAATTAACTGAAAAGTTATGTACAAATGAAAATGCTATCAAAAAATAAGCATTCATTATGAAAACAATGCTTAAAAGATTAAAATATAACACGGATGTGTTAGGGACTTGAATCTTCTTATTTTTGTCAGAATACTTGAAATTTTGCACTGTTATTACACACTTTTTGTTTTTGTATCTCATTTGTCTGAGTAGAATTGATGCTAAAGATAAACCAAGCTTAATACTAAATTAGTCATAAAAAAATATTAAAATTTATTCTACAGCAAAAACTGGTTGCAGTATAGCAAGTTTTTATAGATATTTTTTATATCAGTTGCTTTAAAAAAAAAAGATAAAATTAAACTTAATATTTAGAAACTTTACTATTGCATTCAGTATCTTCTGGGAGTTTGGTAACTTTGTGTGTTACATGAAGTAATGTGTATATATTTGCATTTGTGTTTATGGATACACACAAACACACTTATATACAGGGGTGTGGAGTCATAAAAAAAAACTACCGACTCAGAATCCTATCAATGAAATTTTCAAAGTACGACTTTAACTCCGACTCTTCCTTGAATACTCAACTACTTTGAATTCTTTAAAAAATATTATGCGACAATTAAATTTTTTTTTTTTTGCCAAATTTATGAAAAGTTCTTTGAAGGTTTAATATGAATATAAGGTTAATTGAACATTTTTTACATGCATGTGCAATACCGAGAAGTTTTACTATTGGAGTCGGAGTCCACAGCCCTGCTTATAAATTTATATATATCTATAAAATTGTGCATAAATATATAATTTTACAAACATAATTTTACAATATATATATATATATATATATATATATATATATATATATATATATATATATATATATATATATATATATATATATATATATATATATATATATATATATATATATATATATATATATATATATGGAACTAGATTTATGATTTAAAAAAAGATTTTATATATATGTAAATACTGGCTACACAAATTGGAACTTTCAGTCAATATACATACTGAAGCCCCCACTCTATTTTAGTATAATGATATTACTAATGCTTATATGTATTTGAGCAGATTGATTTTGAACCAGTGGTATTGGAAAAGTTTGTGTAGTTAGATTTCTGCAAATAAAAACATTTTTTTGAAAATGGTTTTTTGTTAATAGCTAACTTTTATCTTGTAGTTGTGTCGAAATGCGGTACTCAATAAAAATGCTCACAAATAAAAGAAAAAAATTATCACAACCAAATTTATCTTTTATAAATATATTCACTCAAAATGTTATTTTTAATCATTTTGATCATTCTTATTGTGACCTTTTTGGTTATTGGTTGTTTTAAATGCTCATCGCACTGAATGGCTCTAGTACCACTGACCCTGCTGGCATTAAAGCTCAAAATATTTCTCTTTTTCAATTTTTTACTAAATTGTTAACTCTATGTTTTGTTTTTTCCTAATCTTGCTACTTCAATAAGGCTAGTTAGAATTCTTTTTATGATTTTTTTTTGTGATAGTCCTTGGAATGATGCCTTTTGTCTCTCTGCTAAAAAATTGCGCTTCTGTGTAATCTCTTTGATGCAGACTGGAAGTTTTTATTTCTTGTTAGTTTTAAGTCAAGCTCAACTCTCTCAACAACTTTCTTGAGAAATGTCTTTTATCATTGCAGGAAGTCAATGCATTTTTTGACGTCAAGTCTCATCATTTTCTTATGTTAAAGTATCTTTTTCTTAGATAAATTTTAAGTTGTATCTCAGAAATTAAGTTTTAGAGACTTATAACATCTTTAACAGTGTCATTAACTAAGGCAAATCTAATATTGCCTCAAACATGGGTTGGATCTTACTTCCTCTTAAAAGGAAGGGGCAGAACCATTTGAAAAGAACTTTTCCTCTAATTTATCTCTTGAGTCTCTTGAGACTTCTAATTTTTGCTCATCTTGTCATTTAAAAGAAAGAGTTAATTATTATATATTCTTGATTTCTTATTTGTCATAAGAACAAGTCTTTTCCTGTCACAGTCTTATTAAAATACTTTCTAGAACTCTCTTCAATATTGTTAAAATTGTTTAAGTACTCTCATTTAATTTTCAGTATCTAATGGGTTACCAGAGCTTGTCAGCAATGATGTCAAATGATGCTTATTTTCATAAAGATTTTTAAAATAAAGTTTGTTATAAAAATTCTTATATTATTGCTGAAAAACATATTTTTGAAATTGTTGTTAGAGTCTTCAGCGTTTTTTTTTTATATTTTTTTTTTTTTGATAAATTTTAAGTAAAAATATATTTGTTTTCTAAAATTAGGGATTTTGCCTAAATACTAAAGATTTGAACCCAAATATTTTTACAACTTGATGTGATGGTGAAAAATAAATTGCATACTTGAAATCAAAATGAAAAATGCTATATGAAGAATGTATTGTTGTTAATAATTATTGTTGGCTTACAAACAGGAATATTTTTTTTTTTGTTGGCTTGTGTAGCTAACCTCTATAGAAACCATATATAAAATCAATTACTAAATTAGCAACTGCTAAGGTTGGCTCTATTGTAGTCACCATTTTATTACTTCTGGTACCATTTCTTCTACCTACTTATAAACTTCCAAATTTGTCCATTTATGGAATATTTTTGTTACATTTGGACTGGTTTTTATGGTTGCATCTCTTTCTCTTTTATAAAAATACAAAATTGGTTGCTGCTAAAGCAAGTTAACTCCGAGCTCGATCCCCACCACGTCCCTGGTAGTACCGCGCTCAACTCGTTTCTCCGCGCAGCGGCCTTGTTCGACAAGGTTCGTGTTTCGGAGTTATAAAGTTGAGAGAGGGTTATAGCCACAAATAAGTAGCCACCTCGTCTGTAGTGGCCTTCTCGGCCTTGAGGAGGTGAATTAAATTAAAAAAAAAAAAAAAAAAAAAAAAAGTTATCATATCTTGTTCTATCAACCAAAACTCAATTTTGTGTGACTTGTCATTCAGCTAAGTTGTATCCTGTTACTGTTGCAGCTGTTCGTTTTGCTCAAAAACTTTTATTTATCTGGTTTTTTCTTTGCACATCCTGGCGTTAGAATTTTCCTTATTTGTATAAAGTACTATTGTTTTCACATAAATTGTTAGAAAATATAAAGAATACTAATATAAAAAGTTAAGCAACAGTTGTACAACAATACAAAAATTCTACAACAAATACCACCTATTTACTATTTAAAATTACAAATTATTAATGAAAATTTACAAATTTTTCAATATACAAATTACTTACAAAAAACTTACAAATTACAACTAAATTACTTTCAAAATGATAAATTATTTACTTAAAAAATCACTATTTAAAGTTACATATTATTTAAAGTTACATATTATTTAAAGTTACATATTACTTACAAAAAACATCCTAACTACTATTGCAATATTTATTTTTGTTTAAAAGTTGATAACCTTCCCTAGCATACATGAGTTTACTTTTTAGCTTACTATTGATCTTATAATAGTTTTTATTTTAGTTGTTTAATTTCTATTTGTATAATATATAAATGAATTACTTTCCAAAATATTTATTTTTAATTTTTACCTAAAAGGAAATTTCATAAAACTTATCGGAGAACACTTTTTCAGTTCAAAAATGGTTGCTACTCTAAAAAGCTGCACAAATGAAAACATTCTTCTGAAATAAAAAGTTTCTTCTGAAAATAAGAGGTTTGTCCGAAATGAACAGCTACTTCTGAAATAAAGATATTTCATGAATGAAAAGGATTTTCTGAAATAGAAAGGTTTGTTCTGAAAAGGAAAAGTTTTTCTAAAATAAAAAGATTTTAAAAGAAAAAACTTCTGAAATGAAAAGATTCTTCTGAAATGAAGATTTTTCTGAACTAAAAGCATATGGATTAAAGAGATCTTTTTGAAGTGACAAGGTTCTTCTGTTGAAAAGATTTACTTCAAGAAGTTTTTACGAGAAACAATACTTCATTAAAAGATGAAACTAAAAGTCATTCTTTTAAATAACTATAAAAATCTCAAACGTTGAGCAAGATACAGTTATCGAAAAAATTATGGCAAGTATATCATGTTTGCTACAAAAATTGAGAATTTGATGATCTTTAAATTGTTTTTGGTTTCTTTTGAGAAAACTTTCAAAATGTGAATAATTTCATTGCATAAACTTTATCAAGAATTTTATAACTAAGTTATTGGCTCTCCAATGAATGTTTACCCGTAATAATTTAATTCTTTTATTTTATTATATATATTATAATTGCTATTATCATTCAACTCTTTACTTTTATACTTATTTTTGCTTTATTTTTAACTTCATTTTTACTTTATTTTTATATTTTTATAACTGTTGTTTGTGTCAATAAAAATGAGACCTCCTTTTTTTTTCACTAATTAATAATGAATAATTAATGAGTGGTGAGTACTTTTTGAATATTTGTTTTCTATCATGAAAAGTTTTTAGGTAAGTATTTACAAGTTCAATATCGTCAATTAGACAAATTTATTATTATTTTTTTTTTTTTTTGTTGTTGTTTTTTCTTATTAAACATATTTTAATAAAGTTGTTCAGAATTTTGCAGCATTTCAGTAGGTAGTTGGTAGTTAATGTCTTTATTTTATTGTTATTAATGTTTTAGGTATCAGTATTTGATTTTGTTTAAATTTGTTTTGCTTTGATTTGCTTTGTTTTGTGTCTTATGTTGCTTAAAGTCATTTTATGTTTTGTTATTACATTTATTATGACATTTGTAAATTTTTTGTTTTAATTTAGCCGGAAACCTCAAAGATGCAGTCAATAGTGGAGAAAACTGCTTTGTTTATTAGTAAGCAAGGTACACAAATGGAGATAGTTTTAAAAGCTAAGCAATCTGGAAATGCTCAATTTGATTTTCTAAGTTTTGACAATTGGCTAAATCCATATTACAAGTTTATCTTACAGAAAATCAAAAGCGGAGAGTATAAGTTATCAGAGGAAGAAAAAGATGGTGAGTTTTTTAAATATTTTTAGTTACATTTATGATCATGATGATAATGATGATAATGATGATGATAACGATGATGATGTTGATTATAAATTACTGTTATGTAGAGAAAGAAAAGAAGTTGTTAAAGGATGACTCTGATTCGAGTGATGAAAATAGTGATAATGAAAATGAGCTTCATCCGTTACTACAAGCTCATAGACGGCCATTAAATAAAGTTGCAACTACTTTAGCTTCAATTACTAACTACATACCAAAATCAAAACCAACAGGAAAAATTGAGGATCTAGCTAAGATTTACATGAGTATGAAATATAGTTCAGATAAAGAAGAAAAAGACTTCAAAGATGAAGGTAAAGACAATACCAATGAAGATCAAAAGATCCTTGATAATAAACCCGAATCACAACCAATCCTTCCAATATCTGAAAGCAATGCTTATCCTTTATACCCTTTGTATCCATCTGATTTGGTTCCACAAAGTGAATTGCAATACCCATCAATGCCACATATGATGAATAATGTTCCAATTAGTATGTTTTTATTTAGTTTTTGAGTTTACTTCTTTGACTTCTTTTTAACTCTTGAATTTAATATTGAGTAATATAGAATAAGTTTTGGTGTAATTTTTTAAATTTTAGTTCAAAGGGTTTTACAATTTTAAATAAATATTTATAAAAACATTCAAGTTTAAATTTTTTTTCAAGTTTTTCTTTTTCGCTTAAATGAAAATGTTTTAGTGCTCTTAATCATTTTTTAGTGCTTGATCCTTCCTCCTATCATTTTTATTCTGGACACAATATTGTTCAACCACCTGTCCACAGTATTGTACAACCACCTGTTCACAGTATTAACCCTCTTGTGCAACCACCTATAAACTATAGGTTTCAACAACCAAATTCATCTGCAGCTTCTCTGCAATCTGCTACTATATCTAAACCTCCACAGTTAATATGTGATTTGCTTGATAGATCTACTTCTATACGTTCTACTACTTCAGAGCTTTCAAAATCATCAGCAGTACTTAGACCACCTGGACCATTATTACCACCTCAAGTTATGTCATTGTATAAAACATCTCATTTAACTTCAGAAGATTCAGATGAAAGCTTACAACCACCTGGTGTTGAACTAGAATCAAGTATTTAATTTATATTTTTTTGCTAAATTTAGCAAGAAATCTTAATAATTTATTTCCTTTATGAGTTTTTATGACTATATATATATATACGCATGTTTTCTCTGATTTTCAATATCAAAAAATAGATTTTTTTGGTATTGAGGTGATCTTATTTCATTATTTATATTTTCATTATTATAGCATCCAGTATATATTATGGCTGGGGCTTAAAAATTAAAAAATTAATATTAATTTTTATTTTACAGACATACATGGAAACATAATTAACTTTAATGTTCTTAAAACATCTTGCGGAAGAATAAAAAGAATATTCGCGAACACTAAAAACCCGCCAAATTTGCGAACAAACTAATTATATTGGTTCAAAAAATACGCTGACTAAGCGAAATAAAGTTCTAGAGTATTCTGTTGAAATGTTTTAGGAATTGTATTATTTACGATTTGTTGCGTTATGAGATATCTAGCATAAATTTTTTTAAAAATATATTATCAAATGAACTATTACTTTAATATTATGGCTCATTCTCAGAGCCACATCTCTCGGAGCCACATCTCTCGGAGCCACAAATCCATAAAGCCGTAAATCTTTAAAACTATTATCATTTATTTACAAAAAAAAAATGTTTTATAATATATATTTTTTAAATTGTCAAAATTTTGAAAGTTAATTACAAATTATATATTTTATTAGTATATTCTTAATTTTTATATCTTTTCTTAGGGCTTGGTTTAATTAATTGTTCGATAGATTTGTATAAAACTAACGAACAATTAATAAAAAAAACTTTTAATAAAATAAGTAACTATAGTTAGCTATTTTAGTAAAATTTAATAGTAAAATTTTTAAAGAATTTCTAGAATATTTCCAATGACGTCATACTCTAAAACTCCTATGAATTAAACGCGCTTAAATAAATTATCAAGTCTGTATAATGCGCCTGGAAAATCATTTTTTTTTTACATACTCAAAATACCAGAGAAAACAGAGAAGACAAGCTTCGATTAAACAACAAGATTTGTTCTTCTTGGTATACATTTATTAATTAGTTTTAATCAAAAAAAATTTTCTCAGACGTTTTTTTTTAACATTCTCTTTAATATGAACACAACATGTCTTGGGACTTGGTAGTCCCTTTAATGAAAAATTAGTGAAAATACTTTTATGTGTGAATTATTTTATTTAAAATCTAAATAAAAGAATTCACACACTGTTTTTATTTTAATTATCCTATTTAGAAATAAATTAAAACGTTCGTTTTGATGTTTTTAAATGTTATTATTTTATTTAGAATTTGATTAAACTGTTTTTTTTTTTTTTTTATGTTTGTATTTTAATTATTTTATTTAGATTTTAAACAAACTGTTTTTTTCGTTTTTTTGATGTTTTTATTTCGAATATTTTATTTAGAATTTAAATAAGACAATGGTCTTTCTGTTTTTATTTTATTATTTTGTTTATTATTTATATAAAGCATTATTTTTTGTTTTTTTGCCGTTTCTTTTTTAATTATTATTATTGCTGTTTTATTTTAATTATTTTATTTAGAATTTAGATAAAACATTCTTTTTTCTAGGTTTTTAAAAGTTTTTTTGTTTTTTTTTAATTTTAAATAGCAAACAAATATAAGTTTTTAAACTTTCATACTCCAGTCTAAAAATAATCATCTGGCCAGCGCTTTTTTCTGTGTTGGCATTAAATTTGAAGCAAAGAAAACTGATAAATATATAAATATGTATTTAGATAAGCAGTGTGACATCATACTAAAATAGCTTGCTGCCAAGGGTTTCAATACATACATTGACTATCTTAAAGCCTTCTGCAGCAATGGATTGCTGCTACATCAACTGGGGGTTTAGATAGGGGCAACAATTGTTTTTTGTTTTCTGTTTTTTTAAAAATCTAAAAAAGCCATATGTTATTAATAAGCAATTGCTGATGTATATCCGTATATTTGTATATACATATATTTATATAGTTGCTGATCTCTCTATATCTGTGTATGTGTGTGTATATATATATATGTATATATATATATATATATATATATATATATATATATATATATATATATATATATATATATATATATACATATATATATATACACACACATATATATATATATATATATATATATATATATATATATATATATATATATATATATATATATATATATATATATATATTAGGGTGACATAAAATTTAAAAAAAACAAAAATCGCAGTATATTTTTTGGTTCTATCAAACTTTGGGAGTCTATAAAAAAAATTTTAGACCCCTTAGTGATCAGGAAGAGCTACATGTAGATTTGATGTTTCAAGCCTTTTTTTTTTTTCACATTATTTTATTATCTTCACATCATTCAGCAAGTTTTCAAAACATTAGTCAAAAACTCAAGATTTTTTAAAACATTTGTGGTCATTCACAATTATTTTTTAGAATTTTTAATTGCACCATAAACTTAGTGGTTTGCTTTTTAATCACTTGGCAACTTTTGGTTTACTAATTATCTTACTTTAAACTTTGATTTTTTTTACTATTTACATATCGTTACAAAATGTTGAAAATCAGAAAGGAAAACAAAAGAAATTAGCTGTAACGCTCCTAGGTCTGTTTACCTGCTCAACTTGCCTTTAAGCTATCTACCTACTAACTAACTTCCATAGAAAAGAAATGTTCTTCAATGTTACTTGTTCCTAACTTCAGCTAGAGATAAACGATTCAAACCTATTAAAACAAACTTTTTATGTTCTCTAGTATGAGAGGATAATATATGTAAAGTGAAAGATGATTTTTGTAATTTAAATACCGAAAAATACTGTTTACTCCAACAAATTGCAAATGTTTGGAAGTCTGCTGGTTTCAGTAATTACTTGATTTCTAAGAGTAGTTTAGTGGAAAAGTTTAAATCTCTATACAGCAAATACAAAACTTTGTGCAACAGTAAAACTTTTCAAATTATAAAGCAAATTTCCGAACGCCACAAAAATGACTTTTACAATATGGTAGAGCAATTTTTTGACATCAGTGCAAAAGACTTTGAGATGAAGTTGAGACACGATGAATCAATGCCTCTGCTTTACAAGAGGATTCGTCCTTCTTAGATAATCAAAGGTATTTTTTGCTCAATTTTTTTTGCGAAGAATTAACCTATTTTTCAATTAAGACATATCTACTAATTTTTCCGTTTTTTTTTTTTTTTTTTTAAAAAAAAGGCAATGGAATCATAACTTTTTTCCTAATCGTAACACATAAAAGTATTTGTTTCAACTTCTGATTGAATAAAAAGAGAGAATATAAACAATTTTTTCTAATAATGCACAGGCATTTTAGGTAAAATTAGTAATTCTTTGAAGTAAATGTATAAATGAGCTTATAATCTTTATATTAATTTTAGATGCTGGAAGTGTAATTACTGAGTCTGAAGTTTTTGTCCCAAATAAAAATGTTAATTTTCACGAAGCAAGCTCAAAAAGTATGCATCAGTCTAGACCAGCATACTTCGGAGTCAAAAAGAGATAACCAGTGAGGGTCTTATTGCAGCAACAACTTCCACCAGTATAAGAGCCGGTGTCAGCATTTAAGATCAAACCCTTATTGCAAGCGTAGTAAACTATTTAGGAGATATTAAACAGCTAAAGTTAAGCAGAGAACCTGTCAAAAGGCGACGTTACAGATTTTAGAAGTGGAAGGAGGCCAGATTCGTAATGAATATATTGATTTAATGGCTAACAAGATGTTAGTTTTACATTTTGAAGGTAAAATTTTAAAGCATATTGAGGAGGACACTAGACAGGAAACTACTGCAGATAGGCTATCATTATCTGTAACTAGCCCAGAGTTTGAAACCAAACATGATCTTTTACTTGGTGTTGTGCCAACTGATAGTGGTAAGGGAATCAATATGGCTATAAGTATTTTGAATCTCCTAGAATATTTTGAAATTTATGACTATATTATAGGATTCTGTTCTGGCACCACAGTAACACTGGATGCAAATCTGATGCAATAACTATTATGGCAAGATTTCTTGGTAAACCATTTCTTTGATTATTGTGTAGGCACCATATTGCAGAGATAAATATTACTTGGACTTTTGAGGCAATTTCAAAGGAAGCGTCTAAAGCCCATGCAAATAATTTGCTAAAAGATTTTCAGATAAATAGATAACAGAATTTTTTCCAAAAGTTTCAGCCAAGGTGCTGTTGAAAAGTTCAAACAATTTCCTGAACAAGACCTTATTGTTGACAGTGATCTCTGCAAACTCTATTTGAAGTGTAAAAAGTTTGTAACTGAAGCACTAGAACATGAAATCTTCCCCAGGTATGTAAAAATAATATAAAATGAATTAGTTTTTCCATAAATATACTTTTTTTTAAAGGATATTAAATAAAATTAGGAATATTTTAGGAATGATTATAGGCATCTTGTTAAATATTTGTTGTATTACATGAATGTTAAATCTGAGAAATTAATGAAAAAAATTTGTTGTATTACATGAATGTTAAATCTAAGAAATTATGGTCTCAAGGGTAGCATTTATTGTTGCTATTAATTATGGACCTATCTTTCATAAATCAGGCAAAGCAGAGCATGCTGTTCTAAATAATTTTACTGCATTTAAAATTGCTGAAACAATAAAACAGAATGGGATTGTGAAGTTGGAAACTCACTTCAGAAAAGCATGAGTAACCACACATGGTATTTGTCTCCTAAATGTTGTCGTACTATTGTTAGGTGATCCTCATATGAAAGCAGATGCTAAGCGTTTAATCATTGAGAAACTTTCAAAATTTCCAGTTCCTGGGTTATCAGAGATTTCTGTAGAAGCTGTTATAGTTACCAGTGATAGTCGATTAGAGGATTTAATTACGAGTTTAAGAAGAGTTTGCTTTTTTTTATACTTACAGGTTACGCCAAATCTGTTCGAGAATGGCATACTTCAAGTGATTTATTAACGCTAGATTTATACACACATTTCACTCAGTTAGTTGGC